CTCGCCATCAAACCCATCCTCCTCCCCCCTCCATCCCAGCTGCCATGACCGCAACGCAGTCTTCAGGCGTCACAGCCGGCGCCAGTCCACACAGCCTCGAGCGACGTGAGGCCTGGTGGAGATCGCGGACTGGCAGATCTAGCTGCTGTCGGCACGCCCGTGCGGGCACCGCGAGCCGCGCCGGTCACTAGGGCAAGCCGCTTCACTCGACCGATGGCCGAATGTGCCGTGACGCTGAATAAATCAGACCCACCTGGAATGAGCCGTGGTCTTCCGTGTCGTTAATATCGCACTGGCTTCGTGAAGCTGTCACGCTGCCACCATTACGCCCCGCTTCTGGTGAAGGGTAGATGGTTCGCCCTGAGTTGAAGCTTGAACCGGTGAGCGGGTCACCGGGGGGGGGGGGGGGGGGGCACTGTCCGTGGTGGTCGTACGTCGTGCACTAGAGACGGGACTCTTTGTTGACATTCATCTCGTTGTATGCATGCAGCTTTCATATACAAGGCAAGAAACTGGGCGGGGCCGCCCGTGCGACTCCGCCTCTCTCCACAGTTTAAATGCACATTAAGCTGGTTTGACGTGTTTTCTACCCACGGGCCAAATGGCTGGTAGCTAAGAAGAGCGAGTGATGAGAGATGAGGAGAGCTGAGGTTATCGTAGTCCTCCCCCCTCCCCCACTGCACACCGGCAACTCTCGTCCGTTGGTGCTCCCAGCGCAATCTCCTTTCCGACAGGGTTACGCGATGTGCCTGCTCGACTACGACTTCATGATCCTGAACAATGCATTTCTTGTGCACAAGCCGGGCATCAAATCATACAAGTAAGTAAATCTCCTGACAGGCGGGGTGGCCACTTTGCCAGTTCTGTCGGCTGACCAGAAGGCCGTACCAATCGGCTCGAGGTCTGATCCCACCGCCCGGCAGAGGGTTGAGTCCCATCAGTCGTTCGAGGTCTGGTCCCACCACCCGGTAGAGGGTTAGATCCCACCAGCCGTTCGAGGCCTGATCCCACAACCCGGCAGAGGGTTAGATCCCACCAGTCGTTCGAGGCCTGATCCCACCACCCGGCAGAGGGTTGGGATCCCACCAGTCGTTCGAGGCCTGATCCCACAACCCGGCGGAGGGTTAGATCCCACCAGTCGTTCGAGGCCTGATCCCACCATCCGGCAGAGGGTTAGATCCCACCAGTCGTTCGAGGCCTGATCCCACCACCCGGCAGAGGGTTAGATCCCACCAGTCGTTCGAGGCCTGATCCCACTACCCGGCAAAGGGTTAGATCCCACCAGTCGTTCGAGGTCTGATCGAGATGACACCTGGGATCGGACCGCTATCATACCTCACTGGCGGGTCCAATCAGACGGTCGATCATCAGCAGGGTCGCCACCAGATTCACCGTTGAATCCCACCCGTCGGCCGACCGTTAGATCCTACCAGCCGGCCATTATCAGATCCCATCAGCCAGTGCAGTGTAAGATCTGTCTAGTTAGTCATGGTGGACGCATCGCGCTACGCTCCGGCTCCGTAAGCACGCAACACTCACTTAATAGTGAGAATTGTGTGCATCGATCAAAAGAGCGCTAACGTCTTTTCCCTGTTAGGCCACAGTGAAGCCCGGCGGTGTCCGTTCCCCAACAGGCAAACAGAGCGCTGCTGTTTGTGTCGGTGGGCCACACTGGGCAGCGCCCACCCGTGACCTGTCTGACCGGCCGCCGGCAGGCCGGACAAATGGAGGGACACTCTGGTGGCCAAGCAGCGTCGGTTTGTCATCAACGCCGCCCGGCTGGAGCTGGACCGCATCTACGGCCAACGAAAGCAGTGTGTACTCAAGTGATGGCGCCGCGTGTGCTCTGGCGATGGCCACGGTAGCGTCCCGCAGCGCGGCCGTCCCAGCCTCACGCGTGGCCACGACCGACTGTGGACCAGCTACCACGCCCAAACTTCTGACGGGCTACTACGTGAGGAACTCTCGGCCAGCTGCCATGTGAGGACCGACCGTCCCGTCGCCATCTCGACTGGCTGCTACGTGAGGAGCTCGGAAGCGACTGTTCCGGCTGGTGCTGGTCTGAGCCGTCGCCCACGTCGCTGATCAGCCAGCCCGGGCCGCTGCCGCCGGCACCGGCGCTGGCCGGTTGGCACTAACCCGCACTGCGCCTCGGCAACGCCGCGCGGCACAAAAAACGAGGCAGCGCGCTGCCGCGCGCTCAAGAAAAACTGGGTGGCACGTCAAGGCCTCCACAGGCAAAGCCGGGTAACCCACGATGCCAACTACACTGGCCGCGTTGCATCTCCTAACCGTGGCCTTGCCATGCAACGAAGATCAATGTCCGATGGCCAAAGCTATAGCGCGCGCGCGCTTCGCCGAGCCACATACACGGTGTTGTGGCGGCGGGCGCGGCGCGAGCAGCGCTCCAACGCCCAGCTGACTTAGCCCAGCTTTATCGCATTGTCGACCGTTTTATATGTTGTCCATTGTGCGTCTGTTCGTCGCGATGACAGGGACGGTTTCGGAGATGGCCACCGGACAGGGTGAATCAGAGGCGGGACAGAAGTCCAACAGAAAAAGGTACTATTTGTGTTTAGAGTCGCCGTGCGGCGCGACTGGCTTGATCGCTGTAAGGAGCGCGTAAAATGGCCGGGTCCGCTGTCTGTGCGCGGTGTCGCAGTTTTGATACCAATGACATCAAGCGTCACCCGAAAGTTTATCCATAGCGTGAATCACCGTGGAGGGGCATTATTGACCACATCGGTAATTACGGTCCGATGTTTTACCAAAGTACTCTGTCGCCGTACCTATAAACACCACATTCACCTTAATTGACTCATGCCGACCAAACCTTTTTAGAACACTGGCCGGCTCACGTTAGTCACGGGAAGGCAGCCACGCCGTCCCAGCTTGTACCAGGCCATCTGTTGGGTTAACAAGTCCCGCCGACCAAACGAGCGCACCTGCTCACAGGTGCCTGATCGAACCGGACAAACGTGTCTGCGGCGGGGCGTCGGCCGGGCGCGCCCCCGCCCAGTCCGCGGTGCTGGCCGCCCGGGCCTGTGAGCCGTGATTTGGTACGTCAGCGGTCGCCACCAGAGGCGTCGAGCGCTGAGTCCTGCGAGTGATGGCTGGCGGCCAGCGTCGGCGAGCGGCTGCCTGCCTGCCTGTCTGTGTGTGTCTGTGTCGGAGAGCGTGCTTCAGGAGACAGCTGTGTGCTCGGAGGAACGGGCCTGACGCAATGCCAGGAAACTGTGTGTCAGCCTTCAATGTTGCCAAGAGTTGGAAAGACCAAATACATGTTTAAGTGTCGAACATGACTCACGAAGTGTGGAACTTGGCCATTGCCAGCATTACCACATTTTCCACTTCCCGTGAAGCCTGTCTACGCAAAGGCCCCTGGTTCAGGTGTGCACGCTTCGGCAGGGCACACTTACGACAGGCTGGCTGGTTACGACAAGAGGCTCTTGTGTGGCCGAACATGTGACACTTGAAACACCTTGTCGGGTTCGGCATAGAAAGGAGCACCTCCTCTTTTACGTAACCACCTTGTATTTAGACGGTATGTCAGGACGGTGAAACGTGAGCGCTGCTGTTCAGGAGACCAAGGTCAGCACCACTGTCCACTTTGATGCGGCGAACATCCGTCGCGCCGAACACGCGCCGTCACGCCGACCATCCGTCACGCCGAACTCACCCTGTCACGTAAAGCATCCGTCATGCCGAGCATCCGTCACGTCAAACTCATGCCGTCACGCCATCAGTCACGCCGAACTCCTGCCGTCACGCCGGCCATCAGTCACATCGAACCCACGCCGCCACACCGAGCATCAGTCACCCCGTCCTCAGCAAGGCCGTCGATAATCCCGGCATCGCTCTCGCCTTTCACATTGAAACAGTTAACGCCTTTTGACGACTTTTTTATTCTGTGGACTCTTTCATCCACCGCGACAGACACGTCCCACTTACCTTCCGAATCCCACACGCAGTACACATCCGTTCGAAGTCGTAGCCCGGTTCACCTCCTCTCCGTCCTCAAACTCCGTCTGGATCTCACCGTCCCTGCACTTATCACAGCGCGGGACATTTCCGATTCCATTCCAGCTGTCCCCTTTGAAACGGCAAAAGGGACTACGACGCCTTCTCAGTGCCTCATATATGACAATTCGAGGGGTAGAATGATAATTCATGAGGTTGGCACATCACCAGCTGTGAAAACCTCGTTCGGCTCTCGTTTCAGGATGCGGGTGCTTTTTCATTTCGAAATTGCTATTGTCGTGTGGTTCAGCTTTCGACACCGGGGTTCCCCACCCACCTCGAAGCCCAACTGGGGACGGTTCAACACGGCCTCGAGAGGTGGTCGCCGCCTGGACTGCCCCGGCGCTACCTGGTAGTAACGAAGCCTCCCGGGTGGCTAGGTGGAGCCGGGGAGACCCCGTCCCGTCCTGACCGTGGTTCGGTGCCGCCGCCCCTCGACCCCTCGTCACCGCGCCCAGCCGCGCGCCCAAGTGGAGATCCCCAAAGAGCACCCGGCATACAGCGCAGGCGACAAGCCGCTAGAACCGTATGGAGCCCCACGCCCCGCATATCTTATGCAAAGTACGGTGCTGGGGCGCGCTGCGACTGACCCGCACGGCGCGCCCCTCAGCAACCAGAATCTGATCAACCCGGGGACGCGGGCGAGGTGGCACGGCGGCCCCGATACGAGGATGAGGAGTGGTGGGCGGCCGGAATGCGTGAACACGGGTGGTGGCGAGAGAGCGGATGGGACAAGGGGCGGGGGCTCACGTACCGGCACGGGCGCTAGGCCCTGAAATGTACACCTTGCGCTGTTCACCATTATCAAAGCCGGGAGCTGAGGGGACGATACTGGCTCACACCTGCCGGGGTCGGTGCCCCTGCAGGGACCAGTACCCGCAAGAAGCTCAGCGATATCTAACACGTTTCTGTCAGTGCAGGCAAACACGCTGGTTGACCCTGTCATGCGTAATCTGGGCCCGATGGTAGTCACTCAGCAATACGCAGGCAATAATGTTATATTACAAAAATGATCTTTAACACATGAGTTATGTACAACATTAGAAACACGCTTTCCCTATCACACTTCCCAGCAGCGGCTTTGACGCCGCGGCCTCGTGGTCGCCATATTTGGTAGCATTGCGCAACAACGGAAAACAGCCTCCGCCCCACGCACTCATGGAAAGACAATTTCAGAACCGATGCCCAGATGCAGCAGACTAGTAGTGAGTCGGCGGACGCGTCTCAGGCACGAGACGCCCGCGCCCCTCCAGAGCCGGTGCACACGGCGCACACGCGTTGTCCCGATGCGGCGCACGGCCAGCCGCGACACATGATTGTCTGTCACACACAGTTTGCGCTCTAAACAGCTTGAAGCGCTGTAAGTTCTACGACTTCCACACCGTCGTGGCCGGCTGGACAGCGCCGGCTCGGAAAGCGACCTCGCCCGCCGGCGGAGCGCCACTGTAAGTCAATCGCGAGTCGCAACAGCGAACATGATCGGCAATGTCGGTCGGACGAAAACAGCCTCCGCTCAGCAACTGAGCCTTCGCGACCACTACTGATGCGAGTCTCGGAGACGTCTCGATTCGTGCGGGAAGTTCGCGGCACCAGACAACAGCGGCATGGCTATCACTGTCCCCTTTTTCCCCTATTTCAGAAATGTCTTCAGACTGGTTTGCATGGATGGCTTCAGGTTCAGAGTACTCGCCAAGCAAGCGCTGTTATGTGTACCCTGAACCTACCACCCATCAAACGTCACGCAGTTCAGTGGATTTTTGGAAGGAAAAAATAGAGCCTCTAACTTTTACCAGGCAAACATGCGAATTGGCACGTCGCACAATGTTGCAACATCGCCTCCCACAGTCTGCATTTGAGACGGCAGGTTTGTGCACACAGCTGCATTCCCGGAACTTCCAGTCAGACAGTTGCCTTTGTGACAGGTGAAAGCAATCCGCCCGGGACAAGCGGACAGTGGAAAATGCTCGTGGGAGGATAACCAGACACAGCTCAAGCGCAACGTCCCGCAAGCACGATACAAACACAAGTTTAAACAGACTGCGTAAGAAATTCAGTACATACATTGGGATCTAGCCAATTTTGCGTGACTTCATCATTCCTTAGCTGAGAAGCCATTGTGCGCGATTTCATCATTCCTTGGCTAGGAAGCCATTGTTTACCATGGTTCGCTATTGTTTGCAACTTGCAGCACCCCGAGTTACAGACGGCAGCCATGCATCATGTGCAGATGGACGAGACTCCCGCGCATGGTGTGCAATTCTCAACGATGAGGCCAATTTGGCAAGCTGACAACTTGACCTATCTTTCCAAACGAGGATAAAACGATGGTTAAAAAACGTGTACAAGAGCTAGTATCGCCTTCTTGAACCGGTACTGCAGGTGTCCTTCAGACTTAAGTCACGATGTCTTGAGTCAGGAGCAAATGGGGGAGGCGCCAACATTTCTATGGGGCCGCGTGTGCTGGGACTGAAAAGATACACTTTAAAATCCCAATTTATACTTAATCTAACAATTAACGTTGCAAATTTTGGGTGGACCACATCCATTTACAGACCGAACAGAACTTTTGGAGCCTACGAGCCACAAACCTACCACACAAGAGATACTGCGAGAACCAGCAAACACCACAAATTTCAGCGTCTGTTTGACAGGAAACTTTCCGGTGAGAAGAGTCTCAAGCATTAGATACTGAGTTAGTGCCTTACTAGATGGATCCCTATGATTGGAGTGTTTAATGACCGAAACGTCTTTTTCAGCACCACAGAACCACATATCAAGTATTGCTTACGACATCAGCTATGAACATACATGGCCATGGCATCCATATAGGAAAACAGCCCTGCGGCATTTGGAACCAAAGCCGGCAGCTGACGCGTCTCGACGAGAACAACCTAATAATAAGACGAAGCCGACTAGTTCGGTGGTATCTGGAGCCCTGCCGTGCTCAGTGTTCGGGTGGCCCAGCGCGTTGCACATGTTCGGTGTTTGTCGGGGGGGGGGGGGGGGGCGGTGGCCAATCGGTCTGGCGGCGGCCGGCTCAGTCCTGCCCCCACTGCCACAGAATAGCCGCCGACCCGGTCGCGTCAGCTGACGCCAGCACACGGTCTTCGCGCCGCCCCGGCGCGCCGAAAACGTCCTAGGGAACTCCGCCATGACGACGCAGCGAGACTGCGGCTGAACGGCGTCCGCTAGCGCCGGCTGAAAGCTACTGACGTCCACCCGATGGCTACAGTACAAGCCGTAACTTCAGGTGAGATAGCACGAGCTGCGAAGTGGGACCACACAACTGGCAAGGACAACCACATCTTCTGATGATGAGTCGCTCAGGTGATGATCGTAATTGACGCTACGTAGGCCGGTGGTACATTGGCAAGGCGAGCGACACGACGGCACAGCAGTGCGTCGCTAAAACAAAACCCCACAACAAACCCAAACTTACAAGTTATCTGCCGATGAGGCCACGCGCCCGCCTTAACAAAAACCCGGAGAAATCAGATCCTGATGTGATGACGTACACGAGTGCGCCCCTGCGGGCGGCGGCGGCGCGATGGCCCGCCACGCGTGCGCCGCTGCCGGCGCCCTCGCCCGACGGCCCGTCACACAACGACCGTCTGGAGCGTCTGACGCGGCTGCCAGCTGCCGGCTGCCGACCAGGTAATATCACTGTGGCCGCGGACCGGACGCCGGCCACACCCGACCGGACCCGACCCCGCCGCCGCACGGTCAGATCCCGCCCGTTACCCTGACGTCACGCGCATCACGGCCGGCCCGTGCCGCCGACTGTGGCTGTGCACGTCTCTGCCCAAGCCAGGGCCGGCGTGTCCGCCGCGCTCACCGGCACCGAGCGGTCCGGCGCCGTTCACACCTCCGCCAGGGGCCAGCGCTCCTTGCAGCTGGGCCGCGACGCCCACCGCCGCCGGGCCACGCCGTCCCGTTCCGACACCTATAGCCGCTGTCGGGGGCCGGCAGGCGGAACGGCCAAGGCCGGCCGGGCCGACCGCATGCCGGCGTCGCCGCGAATACCACGCCGCCGAGAGGCCACCAATGAGCGGGTCAGCCTCAGTACATGGCCTCGTGCCCGGTAAGGATGTAGAGGTTCTTGTTGTCGCCGGCCGGCTCGTCCGCCTCGGCCGTCGGCACGCTCTGCAGCGTGATCACCCTGGAACGGAGCGGACCGACCGTCAGCGGCACGCCGCGCCAGCACGCGGAGAGGCCGACCTCGCCTCACCAGCGCACGCGTCCTCCCACTCCCAACACAACAGGTAACACCGGAAACCACACCACGGCCGCCGGCTTCGGCCGATCTGCCATACACAACGGTCAGCCGGTGCGCGTGTTGCGAAATGCAGACGGTGGCGGCGCTGGGTGGCGGCTGGCTGCAACACATTTTGCACAACCTGTTGCAAGTGTGAGACCACCGATCTCGGCGTCAATCTCTCACGTCTTAGCGAGTCATCCGGGAGGGGGGGGGGGGGGAGGGGAGGGCGACAGCGCAGTTACTGCGCAGGCGAGCGGTAATGACATGCGGCCCTATGCATGGCCGGTAGACTGAAACAGCAGCCGAAACGAGCCACCCCTCCCCACCTACCACCCACCCGTTTCCAGTGTGTGAACGTCTCAGCCCTCAGCCCGGCCCCTGGCGTGTCGTCACCACCGGAGCCAAAAGCGGCGCCTGGCCGGCTGACACATTCCACCGCGGCCTGCGCGGGACTGCACGGTGCGAACCGCTCCCTGCCTTGTCCAACCACACGTCGAGCGAGCAGTCGAGACCGGCGCGGCACCGTGCCCGACGCCGACACGCGGCTGCCCGCTGCCGTCTGCGGCGGCGCTCGTGGCGCCCGCCGGCTTAGACGAGCCGGTGCGGCGCGGCCCCGCGGCGGCGCGCGTGCGTCAGCCCGGCCAGGCGGCGGCAGCAGCGGTGGGCCTCGCCCGCGCGCCGGCTCCCCACAGGCTGCGTTGCGGGCGTGCTGACACGGCTTCAGAAGCGGATGGAAGACGCGCGCGCCGGTACGAAGGAGGGGGAGGGGGGGGGGGGGGCGAGAGCTCGTGACAACGGCCCTCGCTGGTTGATAAGCGGCGCATTGATAACACTCCCCATGGCATGACCCATAACTTCCTTCCCGGTGATAAAACTACGTCTCGCTTCACCACCGCTAGGCTTGATGGCAACGTCCGCTTAAACGCCGCAGCACACGTGTCGTGAAAGCGCAGGCCTCGGAAAAAAAAACTTGGGGAAACTTCCCCGGCGAGGACGTATTCGGGACCTCAGCGCCTCGACAGCTGACGAAACCATGTCGCCTGGGTGGTTATCAGACGACTGGCGAAACCGTCGTCTTGGTCGGACCTGCTTTGATAAGCCACCGACAGGCCACCGCCGGCAGCGCAGGCCGTCTGGCGACGTGAGTCCGCCGCACAGCGCGCATCGAGGCGAATCCCACCGCTGAGTACAGCGTCCGGAGGACGCCACAGAGTCCGAGCCCGACCCCGGGCTCGACTTGAGCTCGGGGTCGGGCTTAGGCTCGGGCTCGGGCTCGGGCTCGGGCTCGGGCTCGGGCTCGGGCCCGGGCCCGGGCTCGAGCCCGGGCTCGAGCTCGGGCTCGAGCTCGGGCTCGAGCTCGGGCTCGGGCTCGGGCTCGGGCTCGGGCCCAAGCCCGAGCCCGAGCCCGAGCCGGCGGCGGCGGCGCTTGGGGAGTCTGGCTTGGGCCGACGCCACGACCACACCAGAGCGGCGAGCCGCTGCCGCGTCCCAACGGAGACGCGTCACCAGAGACCACTGCCCCAGTTGTAACGAGCACACCACGGTGGGGAGCAGGCCCGTCTGGCGACGGAGCATTCTGGACTTCAGCGCTCCGTTCCATTCCCGACACGCCAGCCGCACTAGTCCGTCCAAATCCAGACTCTGGGTGGAACATGACGCCTTACATGGAACCTTACATGGAGCCTTACATGGACGGTTTCGGACCTTGAGTTTTGGTCTTTTCGTAAGGTCTATGGAGTTCGATCTCCTATTCATGGATATATACATCACGTCGACAATCCTGCAAGCGTCACTGTCGCTCGAATGCATCAATACCTAACAGGCCAGTGTATACATATGTGCATTCGTCTCAAGACAAATCAGCAGCAAGGCCATATATTCGCTTGGATTTACAACCAAGGCCTCCCCAAAAAGAACAACCGGGCTCATATCTAAGCACCATAAGTACATTTGCAATGCGAAGGTGTTTTTTACTTCCACCTCATAGAATAAAAGGGAACAACAGACCAAGATAACATCAAAAGGTTTCACGTCATCCATCACCCGTTCAATGATTTGGTTTCAGCCTGATCGGCGCAGGTGTGAAAAACCATGTGATTTTAAGAACCAAAGTGACTGCATATTACACATCAAGTAATTTTCTTCCTCCACGTGGGTTATTGAAGTTTTTTTTGCATGTAAACCACGATAATAACCAGCACTCCTCCATGCCATGCATAATACATGGCTGCTGGAAGACTCCAACGGCACCCAAACGGCGCCATATTGGTCAAAACTCACTTAAATTAACATGAGCATCAGATAGACGGCATGGTGCGCAATCAGTGCAGAAGGTGCAAGTGGTCCATTACGGGCGGAGGCTCTCAAGTGGCAAGGATTACCTGGAACAGCGCTGTCACAACTGCTGCTTGCCCATTTGTCAAGACTGTCCGGAACTGCGCAGCTCTGCGCGGCTCTACGCGGCGATAACAATACTTTTGTAGCGCTAATAACGTGAAACAGAGGCCAACATGATGAGACGCATCAACGGTGGCCCTAGCAGGATGGGTCACCTGATCACCACGCCCATCGTGACGCAAGAATGACGAAAGAGAAGCGAAACCGCGTTCCTAAGTCATGACCTTCTGGTCAAATAAGGTCAAACGGGGTCACACTCTGCGTTAGTCTCCAAATCATCCCAGAACCTAAATGCCTCTTCTAGGAAAACGTCACATGCTTATTTAAGGTCAGTGACCTTGTTCGACCTTTTGAAGGTAATGGCGACCAAAATATGATTTTGGTTTGCTTTGGGTTTTGCATTTGAATAAGCGGCAAAGATTAAGCTAGGCAGTATGTCCCGAAAAACAAAATGCTGACCTGGGTCGGTTTGGAACAGTGACCTATTCTGACCTTTGGGGAGTCCATGGAAAATGCATGATACGGTTTCTGTTATCCATAATTCGAAATAAGCACCAGCAACTAATCCATGTAGAGAGCTCTTTAGTGATACAACAGGTTGGTTTCAACCTTGGTCCGACCTCCATACTTTACCCTAGGTCAATGGAATTTGTTCACCCAAATGTTGTGTTACCTGAGAAACCGTCTCAGAGATGTGTTGCTTCGTCTAGCACTCAGCATGAACGATTCCCTAGAAACTAACTTCGCTGAATCCATGGCCTGACTTTGACCTGCCATAGGCCAGCGACCTTACGCGATATGTCTGAATTTGTACTACCAACCGATCCGCTCTTCAACTGCCTACATGCAGAATGTCACGTGGCTACGCCGCGCAGTTGGAAACCACTCCGGAAAAAAAATTCGGAGCGGGGTCAATTTGACCCCCCACCACCCATCCGAGCGCGTGTTAATTGTCTTTCCCATGTTGAGGGACGGGAATGCTTTTGGTTCTTAGATACCACGCAAAATGGGTTTTCATTTCGGCACTGAGACTCCCCACAATCATCGGAGCCCAGCTGGGGGACGGTTCAACATTCCCTCGAGATGGTCGCCGCCAGGGCTACCCCGGTGCTGCATGGGGCTAACGAAGCCTCCCCATGGCTAAGTGTGGCCGAGGGGACCCTTCCCGTCCTGCCCGTGGTTCAAACGGACCGGAGCCCCGCAGCCGGCCTGCCGCCCGCCGCGGCCACCGGGTGAAGGGAGGGCGATCCGGTCACGACCGGCACGCCAACGGCCGGCGCAGGGGTCGGCAGGCACAGGTGATGGTGGCGTGACGGCTCGGGTGACAGTGGTGTGAAGGCCGAGGTGACGGTGGTGTGAAGGCCGAGGTGACGGTGGCGTGACGGCTCGGGTGACACTGGTGTGAAGGCCGAGGTGACGGTGGTGTGAAGGCCGAGGTGACGGTGGCGTGACGGCTCGGGTGACACTGGTGTGAAGGCCAAGGTGACGGTGGCGTGACGGCTCGGGTGACAGTGGTGTGACATGGGGTGACGGTGATGCGGCAGGCTGCCGTGACGGCCCAGCGTGACGGCCAGTAGCAGAGGTCGCAGGAGGGGGCTGCCGTGACCGGCGGCTGCGGGGACGTGTGCCATCGATCAGGCTCGGCGTCGTCACGTGATGCCGACGCTCCGGCACGAGCCGTCGCGTCCCTCGTTAATTAATCAGTCGCCGGAGGCGGGACGGCCGCGCAGCCAGCCGACCCACCGGCGGCCGGGCACCGGGGTCCAGCCGGACGGCACGCGCCAGCCGGGCGGTCACGGCAACGCAGCCCACGGGCGGCACGCAGCGAAACGTGGGATAACGGGACCGGACGGCGCAGCACGCGTGTTGTTGTTCATTTGAGTTTTAGGGCGCGCCGACTGCTGAGGTCAATTTGCGCCAATAACAGCTAAATGACTACCTACGTGTGTAAATGGCTAAAAGATCTTATATCATGAAAACAGCTGAGTCGTGGCAAGAACGCGAAAATCGTCAGCAGGGATGTCCGATTACGTAAGAGCTGGAGTGTCTCGTCCGAAGCAGCGTGACCTCTCTTGGTTGGTTATTTGGGTTTAAAGCACATCGACCGCTTGGTCATACAGAACCCATAATAAAACATCCATCAAAACTTTTCAGAAGCCTAAAAATTTCCTATACGCGGTATGAACTCTTCAGACGGGCGTATATACAGTGCAAAGCTTACAATGCGACACGAACCTAAGCATCTGTCCGATATAGGATAAGGTATCGCAAAGAAAATCGGAGAGCGTAAGGGACGGCGCCGCCGGGCCAAAGACGCCCTCAGACGCCCGACGGATAGTATGGAACAGCATATGAGCGCCTGTTCCATCGTGAGCGTGGCATTACAGTGGCGACATCGTGGTAGTTCGTTGCGACATGGAAGGCATCGATGTGTGGCAAAAGCATCGCCAATCCGCAAGGGACATAAATATCTTCCTCCCGTCTAGACTTTCGATAGGATGACT